CTAAAGTTGCACGGTTTTTTGCAACGGCGTGCTTTCTCACCATAATTCGAATGATACCAACAAATTCCAGCTGCCCCCTTAGGTGCCCTAAGACGATGTCTGGATACTGATCTCCTTCTGGACGTAGATCTGGGGGGTCGAGAATGGATGGAGGAAATAGTCGCCTGCAGTGATGCTAGCTGCTGTGTTAATTGTGTTATTTGTTGTTGGATGTTGAGTGCGTCGCTCATGTTTTCTCTACTTGAGAATTGTATCGCGTTAACGCCGCGACTATCGGGATATATTTCTATCATCTAATCGGCCATGTCTGCTAAATCATCAAGACTGACAGAGGCTCCTGATATGCTGAGGATTTGTCTGACGCTATGTAGTAGCCTTTGTGACCACATCTGCTTAAGTAATGCTTCGTCTAACTTGTATGAACCTGCTAATTGTCTCATATGTCTAAGCAACTGTGAAGGTCTTTTGTCTCCTAAATCGCATGCGGTGAGTAGTTGCTGTAAGCGTTTTTCGTCAGACTGCGAAGTACGGCAGATTACTGCGGCTCTTATTTTGTCATAGGGGTCCATTTCTGGTACGTTATCTATCAGGTCCCCGACTTCCGTTGCTACTTCTATAGGTAGTGCACCGACGACGTGGGCATATTTAGTCGCTTGCGAACGTATACCTCTCGCCAAAAATAGTGCCTCAACCTGTGCAAACCATATCCTGGGAGTATTAACACCGTACGGTGGTAATCTTAGTTCAGAAATAGCGTTGATTGAGTTTAAAACATTATCTTCTGGCTGTGATGAATGAAAAGGGTTGGTTGATGGGCTATCTATATCGATAAGTTTGTGAGGAGAGTTCATAATGTCAAAAACAAAAATGGTGTGTCGTGCCAAATAATAATAATAAAAAAATATGTAGATATATATAATAGATGTCAAAAAAAATCGAGGCTCACCAAATAAATGTGGTGGACCAGACAGATATGAACGCGAAAAGTACAAACAAAGTTACTAAAGATCAATAGTAAGATCAATATATACAGTTAATTGTTACAAATACAATAAAAATTAGGACCGTTACTTAAATTGACCCCACGTTGCGTGTTCTAATGTAAATCCACAATTATAAATGCTTGATGATTCTGAGCAGGTTGGCGAACTCTCTAGTGATATAATCCCACGTAGAATGTGATATATTCCAATTACAGTCTATAAATAATGATAACATTTGATTTAGACTTCAGATAACTCAATCACAAACGTAAATAGAACGAGGGATGCGTGAGTAGTAATGTATTTGTTAGCCAGCAAGAATATGTCACGCTATGCTAGAATCACAACGGAAAGTGTGTTCAAGCTCATTTACTAAGACAAGTTACAGTCATTTAATGTTAAATATACATACAGTGGAAGTTTGACAAAATGAATACAAATAACATTGAAAACTATTTACAAAATAAGGTTGTCAGGTCTATCTCCACGCACTCAATCAGGTACTAGCAACCCTTCATTGAATGATATGAACAGAAACGCTTCTCTTCTGCTACAGGGGAGCCTCTGCAGACAGCCGAATAAACTTTTCGCTTCAACCCTAATCACATACATCTTTGTGATTACTCAGGTCAGGTTTTAAAATGGTGCTTAAAAGGCATTATTGTTTTTTCGTATTTTATACGGTATGTCTTGATTCTTAAGGTTATTGCACCTAAAAACCCGTAGTAGCATTGAGTCTTAACCACATAATCCTCAATGATGAACACGAGACTCTCGGGACAACAAATATTCAACATTTGACGTGGCGAAAAACCCAACGACAGAGAAGGCGGGAACAATAAATGGAAAGAATTCGAATTGATCGGACGGCATGGCTCGACCTTGCAGGAGTGGTCACTCTTAATTGTTGTAATGTAATCTTTCATTCATACTAAATATATTGTTCTATCTCTGGCCAAAGTTTGTTCTCCATCATATATTGGTGATTGGTACCATGCGATCAGTTGGTGTAAATAATAATGTGACTTTCACGTAAGATCTTATGGATTAGGCAGTTACATCATGACAAATCTGCAATTTTAGAACTAAGTCTATTAATAGAGAGGTACTAATATCGAAGTAGACCATAATTCTACACACCTGTTCATTAATGAAACCCTTGAATCTTTACAAACAACAGCAATTACATTTCATCACAGTTGCACAAAATTCTGCTTTATCTTACAGATCAACTGAAAATGCAGTTGATGTAGGCGGAAGTGGTGAACTGAGTAAATACATTTGTTCTTAGACTAACAAAATTACTTTTCAGCACAGTGGCAGACACTGAAAACTTAAATTCTCTAGAGCTGCAATCAAGCTGTCAAGTTACGGCGAGTCAGCTGATTTTAGACTTAGTGTGTCAGATTAATGGATTCATATCTCGCCTGCTACAATTACAATCACTATTGTTCCGATCGTAGACGTTAAGAATATTACTGCCAATAGCATATACCTGTTCATTTCGTAGTGTGGCGTCGAGTCTCGGTTGACTATAATCACCACTACAGGAAGGTTGTGTACCAAATATCAGAAGGCGAATTAAGGTTGTTGGCGATTCCGTGGTATCGAAAGAATACCGAGATCGTATCAAAGGAGTACAAGCGGATTTACTGAGCGAACGTAAGTTCGTGCAAGGTCACAATCAACGAGATGAAGAATGGAAGAATAATGGATGGTTTTAGTATAGTTAAAACAATAAGTACAGTAAAACAGTCACTGGTACAATTGGTTATAATAATAATTGTTTCAATTAAACCAATCGCGTTCTCTTGATAAAAGTAGGTCACTACAATCTCATACCATGTCACACCTATCTTTTGTTTTTAGAACTTTGTTGGCATCGAACTACCCCTCGACTGATTCCGACTGTTATCATGTCGCCTGCCGTTTAAATTCCAATTTTGTAATATTTAGAGTAAAGTATAATAACATACATTCACAGACAACAGTATGTTACATGAGGTGTGACTGACTACAGGCTAGACCAAATTGTTACAAATGCCACATATTTTGCTTTATTAGATTGCTCTTTTGGGTTGATATGTATAGCGCATATTGGTTATGTAAACAGAGGATGAATTTTCATACAATAGGATATTAGTGTTAGCAAGACTATAATGTTCAATATGAGAGTTGGTGAGCTTTGTGAGGATTGCGCAACGACAAGCATTTGTTGGTCGGCAGTTACTAGAATGAAAGTTAACTTAAGTGCATTATCCTGTGCTCCGTCATAGTGATCCCAGATAAATTCCGGAGGTATTAGTAATGACTCATGGTGAAGTCATAAGTCTCACAAGTGTTTTCTTTGGTATACCACGGGCATGCCGAAAAAAAGAGATGGAATAAAGGAAGAGGGAGAACCGGGACGGATAATGATCATGACTAGTGAAACTTAGTCATTTGTGATGAAATAACTGAGGTACGACTGCTTAAACTCATTTTCATTTATTAGGTCAATTTTTAAGCCAGAGTACGGCGTTTAGTGGACGAAGGATTGTACAAATGGAAGTTATTAGAAAAGAGCTGAAAGTTTATCATTATAAATATTTTTAAAATTTAGTAAGGAAAACACACTATTCGTATATCAACTGGCGTTTTTTCACCAGTGTAATTGTAACTCGTTTTTATTATTATAATTTGGTGGAGTCAAAGATGGACTCCCACTTAGCGTAATTTATCAGTCTTGCTTGCAATAGAATTTCTCGGTAGGATGTAAAACCATTTGAATGTTACTGACGTGAGTCAAGGATGTATATTTGCCATAATAAGCTAGCACCAATACCACTTGTTCGTGATATTCTACTAGGCCATAAGGAAGTGCAATTTGTCAAGATGTCCTGTACTACATGCATGAGTGGGCTGAAGTTATCCCTTTGCCATCATGTTTACTCGTTAGTAACGCCACCCTTCCACATTTTGTGATGTTAGGCTCTTTTACGATTGTGGTATGTATGCATACTGTCATAATCTTAGCTCTATATTCCATACCTTATTGGAATACCCTCTCTACTAGTTCCATGTTACAAGCATGTCAGACAGCCAAAGCTTCTGTATTGTGGGTTAGATGTGCAGTTACTATATCACACTGCTTTTAAGTTCATCAATGGTGTAAGATACTGGTCAGATGATATGTTGTTAACAAGTGATGAGGACAGATATCTGATCAAAGAATACGGAAGAAGTGTTTAGGGTTGCGAAATTTAAGAGTAAGACGGTAAGTAAGTAAAAAACACAATATGTGAATGCTAGTGATAATTTTTTTACACCAGTAGAAAATGAACTAGAATGAACTCATTATAATTTAGGATACTTTAAGCTTCTTATGATCGGCCACAGTTGAACAGCGCTCGTGTGGTTAGTGAGTCATCTGCCTACGAACTGAACAGTTAGTTCCAGGAATTATGTAAGTTGTAGCATCCAAATTCAAATTAATTTATATAATCTGAAATTTGAAGCATAATTATTCATACTATGTGATTAAATATGTTTTGAAGGTGTACACCTGTGGTCCTGTTAGATAGTCGAAACAGATAAGCAATTATAGGTATATAATCATATACGCTCTGAATTTGTCGTCGTACTGCAAAAAATACACCGTGTATACGTAAATGTTTCTGAAAGGACTTATCTTCCATAATTCTATCAGAAAAAATCCTTTCTGCTCTGGGTCGACCATTGTTATAAGTGAAAAGGGTTCTTATGGACAGACCCGAAACCTCACAGTAGCATCAAGAAGCGAGGAGAACGAAGATTACTGGTTTATAATAGCTTAGAGCGATAATATTGGATGTGTATCACGAAAGTGAACTCATAACATTGACACAAAACATGTTTACGACAGCACGAACCGAAGAAGAGATAAGATGATGTATTTGAGATTAGTTATTTCCTCTAATCCGAAAACACTTGTTGCATAACAAGGTTGTTTTAGTGTTTCTCAGCGGGTCGTTCTTCCAGGCCTAATTCGCCGCCAAACTCGAATAGTCCTGCAAATTCCAAAGTCTGTTGCACAATATAGTAGGCACTAGAGGGTAGACGGTAGTTTATATTATTGCTAGCGGAAAGGGAATTAGATACCATTTGATTTGGAAGTATTATGAAAGGCTACTCGACACTTGAGTATCGTAGCTGATATCTCATTAATATCAGCTACTGTCTAAATCGCTATTAATAGCGATTTCCGCTTTCACTTTCAATATCGGGTCAGTAAGACGATGAGTACCTTGTATAATCTCTGGCGATAAACGTCCTTCAGTTGATTCAACTCTCCCTTTAACGCCTCAGAAGGCTGAGCATCACATGTCGAGGTAAGGAGTTCAATCTCAACCACTGCTGGTTGGTAATTCGACAGGGCATCTGGCATGCAGCTGATAAGTTATTGGTTCTTGTCTTGTGAACTTTGTTGAGGCTTCTTACATTTTATGTTTTTTTAAGACGCTAAAAATTGGGCTATATCATACACAAAGTCGATAAATATTTTCAGCATGGAATTGTGGAGATTGTTGAATTCCATCAAAATAATGAACCGATTGACATCAGACTGCTGTTAAGAGCCTGAGAGGGCTATACGGCCGTTTCATTCTAGTATGGGAATCCTAAGCAGTGTGCATCTACTATTCCGCACGCGGGACTCATGCCCAGGGCCTTCTGTTTCTCAATATCGTGGATAGGTTGAAGTTAGACATTAACGCTGTTGGACGCCGGTCCAGTAGTCTAGAAGTTAGACGTTTGCGCGAAACTGATGGTAAGTTCATCTATGTAACTCCAAGAAATAGTTAGAAGTATGACCTAATTATCACACAAATTACAACCGAAAAGCCTGTGCTTCCCACAAAGCAATATATAGCATCTCATTTTCTATCGAACGCCTACCATCAGTCCTAGAGTTACTTCCTAATGTGTTCACTAAATTCCAGTCTATAGTTACTTTCTCATATGCTTTATTTCACAGGTTTTTCGAACCATTTGAAAATTGGCTATATTTAGTTACTAACCGTGCATCTACAAAGTAATTTTACTGCATTGGAAATGGTATGTTCAACATTTTATGTTTGTTTTTAACTGATTATAGGTTGACCTAAGTGAAAAGGATCTTAATGGTATGTTTTTATATCGTAGTTTAGAGTGTAAATAGATGTTCACGAAATGTTCCTACTGTTTGACACAAAAGGAGATGAAAAAATCGAGGCGAAAGATATTGGCGAAGTTGTGCGTGCAATGGGTCTAAATCCAACAGAGTCGGACATTGGAAAATATGGCTATCAAAATAATCCAAGTGAGTTTTTACGAATATAATATACAGCAATTTGATATAACGTGATCTAGTTTTGAAAATGACAGGAAACAATATTCTCTTAATTTATATTATCGACAGTGTATTGACCAAATTCTTGGTTTCAGTTCTCTAAGAAGTTATTTAATTGTGTGATTTCTAAAGTGCACTGAAGATTAAATTGGTAATATTTGTCGAGATAAGTTTATTTTGAAATACCCACTGGAGTTTCACTTACTCGTTTTATCTGTAGGCTAAGCTTGTCATGTGTCTGTTGTCTAAAGTGTTTAAACTTGTATGTATTCCAAGAATTGGTAATCGAGTTCTTCAAGCATCGAAATTTATCGCTCCATAATAAGTATTTTAGTTCTTGCTGACCTTAATCATTGAAACCATTTGTTAGCACATTCTTTTTCTCTATATAACTAACACCAACATTCTGGATATATATATATATATATATATATATATATATATATATATATATATATATATATGACCAATTCAGATCGAGATATGCAGACAGTGACCTTGGTTGGGTGAATATTTTGTCTTCCCACATTTCTATTTCTCACTTCAGTGTGGCATTTAAGTAGCATATGATCTTTTTGGAATCACTCATTATATCAAAATACTATCGATGGATATAATATTTTATTCCATGACGTTCTACAAGTAGGAGTAACTTCATTTCTATTGTGCTGCTGCGATCTTAATACGTATTAGTTTAGTCCGCTAAAGAATGACCTGTAAATCCCAAATAGATAGTTTAAAAAGTATGCACTAAAAGTGTTAGAGAAAGTAGTTATTTCATAATATCCATCTTACCAAGATAATTGTAGTAAGTCAATTGAAGGATATGTAATTCTCTTCGTTAATTAAAGTGTTTCCTTTATCAAAATGCTCACCAGTCGGTAGTTTCATTATATATTCCTGTAATCAAAGTTAATTGTCTATTCTCTTTTGATTCCTGCCCATTGTTATTTAATAAAGACAGGACAATACTTTTGATACATAAGCTGGTAGTAAAAAAAAATGTTTTAATTCAGACGGTAAGTACATGCTTAAATACTATCAGACGTACATTTAAATTGAAAATGTTGTCTTAGATTGGTTGATTGAATGATTAAAGCGCTCAGTTTCTAACCACTGTATTACTTATTGAAACATTGTTCCGCAAACTTGTCTGTGAGGCTATAAATTTTCATCGACCGGTGTGGCTTGAGCATGTGCTGCGAATCCATAGCCATCACTTACCTTGACGTCCAATGATAACTGGAGTAGGAGTAGGTTGGAATAAAGTTAGGGGTGCCCAGATCCTAAGACATAATATCAGTCCGTGAAGCTATTGGCTGTTGTAGTGAAACATGCTAGTAGATGCAGAATACATTGTTGGGGTCCCCCAATTTTCGTAACCGATGGCTAGAGAAATTGAGTGACGCCCAGAATCTATCGCACCGATGCAGTTGCATCCGCTCTCTATCTTCCTCCAGGTCTTGGGTTTCAAAGTTATCTTGTACTTCATGTTATACTAATTCATTCTCTATAAATCATACTATCTACTACTTCGGTATTTATCTTTGCAGCTTCATCTAGTTGTCAGGTTGACTAGTTGATTTCATTATGTGTTAATATGATGTGGAAACTTGAACGAATACACATATGTGTCAGATTATTTATGAAAGACTAGTTGTGAATACATTGAATACTTCTTCCTATCTTGTTCTACCTTTTCCCCTAACAGACGAACGTATCAGTTTCGAATCATTCGTTCCAATTTATCATGGTTTATTAAAAGAACAAGTGGAAGTGGATCAAGAAACGTTTATTGAGTCGTTTCGTGTATTTGATAAAGAAGATAATGGATTAATTAGTGCAGCTGAATTAAGACATCTACTAACAGCACTAGGTGAAAAACTACGAGATGATGAAGTAGATGTATTATTATCTGGTTTAGAAAATAGTCAAGGTCTTGTACCATATGAAGGTAAATGGTTTTTTATAAAAAAAAATACAAGATTATTATACTAGTCTCGTGTATTACCTTTCCTGGTACCCAATTGTTTGCACTTGTTTTCGATCTAAAAATGCATAGATTAGAGATACTATTATTGAGTTAAATCAACTTGGTGGTGCTGACGATGAGTCGGGACAATTGTCTGTTGTTATATATCACTGCCTTATTTAACGATGACTACTCAGGATTGTTGTGTAAATGTTTTCTTAGACCTGGCTTAAGCTGTTACTATTCATCGTTCTTTCGACCTTACCGGGATAAATTTTCGAGCAGCTGGAGTCTCTAAAATCCAATGGTTTTTCCTAGTAATTTGGTTTCAGGTGCGGATGCATGGTCAGACTAAAAAGCGTTACTTTAAAAGAAACAACAGTCCTGTACCCACCAGTACCCCACTGTTGCTAGAGGCGGTCAAAAGACTGTATTTTGTCAGCATCTTTGTTAAAGAGAACTATACCATCTGCATATTCTAAGTCAACAAGTGAATCACTAACTGCACATAAATAATGTGACTCATGGTTGAATAAACAGAACTGTGTATGGTATAGATGGGTTACAAAAACCAGCCCACTGAACGAGTTCTAGTACTATCGCATATATCAAAATTTGAACAACTACATAAGATAATTAAATGGTCAAATAAATTACTATGTAAACTCATGATTTATGGTGACTAGTAGTTAACTATTATTTCGACGAAACTTTCAGAATATGAGTTTACTGACATAGAGCTGTATTTTAATCAATAATTCATACATATTGCATTTAATAAAATACACTCTTCGCTCAGTGTATTAGTGGAATAAGTTTAGATTTGTTTTTTAAACATGGCACCATATTACGTTACTCGACTGAAGCTACTTAGTAATTGAAACTTGAGTTCTAAGCTCTTCCCGTCTTATAATCATTCGTTTTCACCCTTGATGATTGGCTAAAACTGGTTAAATTCTTAAGGTCATCCAACTATGTGATAGCTTTACCTATATATCTCATTGAAGGTACGTAAAACAATATATATATATATATATATATATATATATATATATCCTTTTTTATCTTTCTTTTCTTTCAACAGCTTTTGTACAACGTGTTATGAGTTAAGACCAACCTTCATTCTGAACCCGTAAATCATTAAAGTACCCTATTCAACAGGTTGATTTTTGATAAGTTGCGAAATAAATTATCAGCTTTTTTCATTATTTTACAACGTCAAGTTCTATAAACGAGCTTATTTATGTGTTAAATATATATATATATATATATATATATATATATATATATATATATATATATATATATACTTTGTTTTGAAACACGACCAGGACTTTTTATTTGAAGTGAAAGAAAGAAATATTTGTCTGACCCGCACAACTTTTTGGTGTATGTTTCACCCTCCCACTCTCCAGTACAGTAAAACAATGTGAAGTTTTCAATTTAATATGTGCACTTTCCAAACGAAGGATTTTTTCCTGAACCATTAAGAAATTTCCAGGAATCAATCATAGACATTCCTGGATTTCTAGTAAGAATTCGTGACCACTGAAATTCAACCATGTCGGATGTGAGACAGTTATCTACTTCAGGCATTAGAAAATGGCGGCTTATCATCCTGGATTGATTGGGGTTATATATGTACACTGTTGGGTCCTGAATCTGTTCTGGGGGTTGAGCGTTCGCATGCGAGACTGAAGGTCCTGATTTCTCTTCCCTTTGACGAGGTCATAGATGTACACTACTGAGAAGTCCTATATTAAGGCGAAACAGCTGTCTAGCACCTGATTTTCAATTGTAGTCTAGCTTAGGCCAGTTCGTGGTGTAAATTATGTACATCTTTAAAAGGTCAAATCTATTGTTATCGCTGAAATTCGGCGAACTAGTTGAAATTTACTCATTACGAATCTAATTTATTCCCCGTAAACAGAACCGCTTCTGGATTACCACGTCAGACTTTGTTTGTGTCGTTGGTCAATATTGTTGTGTGCAGTACTTCCTTTCGAACTGTTGACTTTGATGACCTAGTCGCGATTTCTTTGAAATGTTTTAAATCAAATTTAATGTCATGCATTGCTGTTGCAACTGGGATGGATTATTTATTCTGTTTAACCAAACAAGAAATATTGTTGTTATCTGACCAAAAGGTAAATTTGGATACATTAAACTAAACAGTATTCGAGATAGATAAATTAGTCACTTAATACATATATGGAACTTACGAAATCAATACACTAAGTGCTTTTTTAAAAACAAGAATTACAACTAAATTGCTGAGTGGCGTATTTCGCTCATTTGCTACATAATTTTGTCGTTTTTTTTTGTAAACATTTATTTCCTTGCGAAAATTATACTCGTACAAGGTGGATCACTTGATTGATGGATAAAGTACTGTAGTAATAGTTAAACTATGCTAAACTGATAATGTATTAACGGTACTAATATGGTTCTGAAACCCCTACTAATCAATCGAATAGTTTTCGTAAGACACTTTTAACCAACTCCTAGATGAATAATTATGCATTCAACAATTACAGCTATTATTTGTGTTTGTAAAAACTCGAATCAAAATAAGGTATGATGAAAAGAACAGTCACAATAGCAGTGAATAATTATTCACTATCAAGTGTTCAATGTGTAAATTATGGTCCTTTGTCGGTTATGTTGATCCATGGTTGCTCAGCATATAAATGAAGCAGCGAGTGCTTAGAGATTGAAGTAGTCTGTTTTCAACCAGTAATTCCCAGGCATGTTATCTGTAATCTTCATTTAATTAACTTATTACTCGTAACGAAATATATAAACCCGAGTATGCTACAGATTTTTGATCACGTGTCGTGAAACGATTGAGTGAGTAGTGTTGAGGTTGGTCATAAAGTAGGTGCTAGGCAAACCGGCTGGTGAGTTAGTGAATATTTAATAATCGAGGTGGTCGGGACATGTCTCAAGTACACATAACCATCGCCTACCTCAACGAACAATGTTTGCCGGCGTTTTTATTTTTTTATTTCAACACATAAATATTGGTACAAGGGGGCATCAAATATATATTCGCCACACAATAACAATGAGAATGGGAAGAGAAAAAAAGGAAGGTAAGGAGCGTAAAAGAAAAAAGAGCAATAACGACCAGATTAGTGTAAAGTAGTGTAATAATGGGGGAGACGGAAAGGTACAACCAGAAGAAATCTTTCAGTTAAAGAAGATACAACCACTTTTTATGAAGAACGTAAAATAAAGTTACAGCAGGATCGCCACTGGCTTCTATTCTGAACCATATCTGATAACGTCTCTAGTCACTGTGTTGCACCATCTCTCGGACCCCAGCCAGGGAGTCGTGAAGGGCCAACAAACGCCAGAACTTTGCAGCTTTTTTTCATACACTGACCACCTCTGCGCTTTTCCCAACCAGTCCCATCATCGGCAAATAATGCACGACGTGGAATTCGCTGGGACGACATTCGTAGAACATATCCAAGCCACTAACGTCGACGTTTCAAGATGGTGACACCAATTGGATTATGGTCTCTATGCCGAACCTCTGAATTACTGACATGGTGTTGCCACTGGATGTCAGCAATGCTTTGGAGACAACGGTGATCAAACACAGAGAGTCGTCTAACGTCCTCAACTCGGAGAGGCCAGGTTTCACGAGCATAGAGCAAAACTGCTCTCACCAACGCGTTGTGGATCCGACTTTTTACAGCCAGACTGACATCACGAAGGCACCAAAGATGGCCCAGGTTGGCATAAGCCGCTCTGGCTTTCACTATACGTGTATTGATCTCATCACCCACGCCGCCATCAACACTTATGCAGCTACCCAGATTCACAAATCTCGCGACTACTTTTGTCTGCTCAGCACAAACAGTGAGCGCGTGTTTATGGTCTTGCCAGTCATGTAAAATTACTTTGCACTCCGAAGGTGCAAAGCACATACCGTACCTACGGGCATTGATTGCCAACTGATTAAGTGCGGATTGCATGGCCTGGGCATTATCATGCAGTAAAACAATATCCGCATACTCAAGGTCAGGAAGTCTTTCTCCAGGCAACAGATCCACATCGCCATTACTTATATTCATCAGAGCTGTTTCGAGAACGTCATCGATGGCAAAGTTGAAGACGAATGGTGGGATTGGGCAACCTTGCTTAACCCCACTGCTTGAATGGAACAATGAAGAAAGGTGGTTGTATGCCCTCACTCTGCTTGAGGTGTTTGTATATAGGGCCCTTAAGATGTTAATAAACTTCTCAGACACACCCTTTTTCAACAGACAGTCATAGAGAACAGTCCTGTCCAACGAATTGAAGGCAGCCCTGATGTCAAGAAACATTATGATTGTTGGCCTGTGATAAGTATGACGGTGTTCTAACATCTGGTGGAGGGCGAAGATATAATCAATACATCCTCGACGAGAACGAAAACCAGCCTGCTCCTCGCATGTCAATCTTTCTCGGGTTTTGAACAATCTACGAAGTGTGACGGAGGTCAATAGTTTGGACGCAATTGGAAGTAGACTTATCCCCCGATAGTTGTTACAGGAACGATGTGAACCTTTCTTAAAGATAGGGACAACTATCGACTCATTCCGTGATATTGGAATACTCTCTAGTCCCTAGAACTTTGTAAACAACGTAGTCAGTTCCTTAACCGGAAAGTCACCAACAGTATTAAAAAGGGCCGGAACTGAGTCATCTGGGTCTGGCTATTTGTAGCACTCCAAGAGTTGTAGTTGATTGCGTACTTCCATCCCGTTGGGTGGATTAGTCGTCGCAGGTCATGGAGGACGGGACAGTCTTATCGACATTGCGGGGCAGCAGACTAGTTGAACTGCCCTTCGAAGAATTCTGCCCACCGCCCAAGACATTGATAGAGGTTAGCGACTGGCATGCCGTTATCCTCACAGATTGTTTCGCTCACACCAGACTTCTTGATCCCAGTGGCTTGGATGAGTTGGAAGAGCTTCCGGTAGTTACCAGATGCAGCTGCTGCTTCAAACTCTGACCACCAGGCTTCTCGGTCCTTACGCAAGCTTTGCCCAATTTCCTTACGTAACATCCTTCGTTTATGGTCAAACTCACGGTCACCCGGAGTAGACCGACGGGCTTCAATGAGTTGTAAGGAACCAGAAGAAACCCAGTGCTTAAAGCGGGACGTTTCGCAAACCCACAACCGCTGTTCCCGCCATTTTCATGGCGTCATGCAATTGCAACCAATGCTCATCTATACTTTTCGGTGGAGTGGTAGCTAGCCTAGAGGCTAGCTCGGTTCGATACTTACTTGCAACAGAAGTTGCAACCAGCTTGCTAACATCAATCCGTTGATGGGGGTCACTTCGTTGGCCACTGAAAAGTAAGGTAAGATTGGCGCAGACCAAGGCATGGTCAGAGTCCAGATAGGTACTCCAAAAGGAGCGGCAGTCTTGTACACAACCACGCCAGCGGTAGCTGATCGCGATGTGATCAATCTGAGTCCAGGCTTGAGATGCAGAGGGAGGACGCCAGGTGGCACATCGGCGATGACTGTGCCGAAAGTTAGTGCTAGCCAGAAACAGGTTGTGGTCTGTGCACAGTTGCAGTAGACGGTCCCCGTTATCTGACCTGCGACCAACAAGTCCCCATCGGCCACCTAAACGACTCTCTTCTGTGCCTAGACGCCCGACCTGAGCATTCAAGTCTCCGGCTAGTACTACAATATCTGTCGAACGCACTTTCTGGAGAAGAACAGATAACTGGTGGTAAAACTCATCCTTGATTGCATCCGGGCTGCAATCTGTCGGGGCATAGGCGGAGATGACGAAAAGACATCGTTTCTCACGCCGATTTCTTCTCACTTTGATGGAACTTTCTAATCTAACAGCACATAACCGACTGTTAATGGGGATCCAATCGACTAGTGCTGCCTCAGCTCTAGCGCTTAGTGCGACACCAACGCCAGCAAGACCAGACGAAGATGCCACAGGGTCCCCGGATAAGCGCACGTAAAACAAGCTTTTCAAAGTGACAGATGAAGAGCGAATCTGTAGTTCTTCACCAGAGTCTTGAATACGGGTCTCGGATAGACAGCAAACATCGATATTAAGATTTTATAAAGACAAATTCAGCACTATCTGTTGTCAAATCTACATAAGTGTTCAAACGTTGGAGGCAGCCAGTTTGAATGGTGCACGTGGTTTCAGAAAAACTGCATCAGTATTCGTATTTGTGGGTAGCATACAATTTTCAACCAGGCAGTGACTCGAG